CCTCCACCACCATCAACATTCCCCACTAGAGTGGTACATTTGTTACAACTGATGAGTCTACACTGACACGTCATTACCCAAAGTCCATAGAGTTTACTTTTGGTGTTGTACATTCTATGGGTTTTGACAAGTAAATAATGACATGTATCCTTTACTATAGTGTAATATGATAGTTTCACTGCCCCCAACATTCCCTGTGCTCTACCTATTCATTTCTCTTTCTCTTCTAGCCCCTGGCAACTACTGGACTTTTCACTGTCTCCATAGTTCTATCTTTTCTAGAATATCATATCATTGGCCATTTTTTAAAAACTAGGCTCCACACTCAACATGGGGCTTGAACTCATAAGCTCAAGATCAAGAGTTGCATGGTCTACCAACTGAGCCAGCCAGGTGTTCCAAGAATATCAAATAGAGGGAATTGTATAGGATGTAGCCTTTTCAGATTGGCTACTTTCACTTAGCAGTATGCATCAAAGGTTCCTCCATATCTTTTCATTGCCTGATAGTTCATTCCTTTTTAGCACTGAATAACATTTCATTGAATGGACCACACAATCCATTCATGTACTGAAGGACAACTGGTTACTTCTAAGTTCTGGCTATTATGAATAAAACTGCTATAAACATCATGTGCAGGTTTTTGTGTCAACATAAGTTTTCAATTCATTTAGGTATATACCAAGTGGTACAATTACTGGATCAAATGGTAGCCTCTACACCTTTTCATCATGGTCTTCATATGTTGTGCCAATATTTTACCTTCAAATGTATAGAATGGATACTTCCTCACATTTGGAGCTTCCATTTGGAGTATGAAGGGAAAAAATGAGTTCACCATAACTCTAAGACTTTTGGCCTAAGCAACTAGAAAGAAGATGCTATCATCTACTTAGATGAGAAAACAGTGGAAGGTATAGATTGGCATTTGCAAAAACAGACAGTTTGGTCAATTTGAGACATACAGTAGTATCCAAGTGGAGATGTCATGGAGGCAGTTGTATAGGAGACTGAAATTCAGGGGAAGAGATCCAGGCTAAGAATATAAATTTTAGGGTCACCATGAGCCCTAGAGTGAGTTCAAAAGAAAAGAGATCATGGGTGCCTGGATGGCTCAGTTGGTTAAGGGTCTGACTTAGGCTCAGGTCATGATCTCTTGGTCCGTGAGTTCAAGCCCTGCGTCAGGATCTGTGTTGACAGCTCAGAGTCTGGAGCCTGCTTCAGATTCTGGGTCTCCCTCTCTCTCTGCCCTTCACCTGCTCATGCTCTGTCTCTCTCTCTCAAAAATAAATAAAGATTAAAAAAAAGAGGAAGAAGAAAAGAAAAGAGATCAGAGGAATAGTCCTGGGGTACTCCAATGTTTAGAAGATAGAGAGATGAAGATTCAGCATAAAGAAAGAGAAGTATTCAGTGAAACAGGAAGAAAACCATTAGAGTGTAAATAAGTGTCACACACAGGATAGAACAACTGTGTCAAATGCTGCTGAATAGTCAACTGAGGTCAACAATGACAACTGACTGCTGGATTTAGCAACTAACTGTAAGTCGCTGGTACGATAATTTCAGTGGAATGATAGAGGAAAGCATAACTAGAGTGGGTTCAAAAGAGAACAAGAGGAAGAGGAACTATCTGGTATAAATAAGTCTTTTGAGGAGTTTTGCTATGAAGTCATGGAGCATACTGAAGGATGTGGAGTCGTTCTTAACATGGAATAAATTATAGATTCTTTGTAGCCTGATAGGAAGAAAACAAAGGAACAAAGATGATAAAAGAGAGGAGATGGGGGACAGTGGCTGGAATGATGCAGGTGAGAGCAGACGAAATCACAGCATAAGTAGGGAAGCTGGTCTTAGATAGGAACACCAAGAGTTTATCCAAGGTAACAGAGCATATGGCACAAATGAAGATAGAAAGGTATAAGTAGTGGCAAGAGCTTATGATTCCTTCTACTTTCTCAGTGAAGTAGAAAGTGAGGATATCCACTAAGAATGTAATCAATGAGAATGTGGTGAAGGTTTGAGAGAAAGGAGAAGCTATGAAAACCTCATCTCTTAGACAGCAGAGTAAGCAAGTGAATGCACTGAAGATAAGGATTGCGTAATAGCATCGTAGGTCCACCAGACACTGAATTATAGCGATATCAATCTGCATGGCTGTGTTTTTCTGCAGGAATATGCTACTGCACAGGTGCATGTGTGAAGTAGGCAGAACTGCATTTAACCATGGTTGGAGCTTTGCTAGAGGAGTAGGATGATAAAGGGGAGGAGCAAGGCAGTGATTGTAATAACATACCATGAAACTTCAATTAGACAAAAGGGCTATATGGACAGGAGAGTGAGAGACAGTACACAGGTAAGTCCTGGCAGGCTAAGTTCTACAACTGTCATTCCTTCTTGCTTAGAGTGATATGGAGATCAGAGGAGGGGACCTATGGGTTTATTCCCTGAGCAGATAAGTTTCCCCAAAGAATCACAATACACCACTGTTTCTGAGGCAGAAGTGTGTACATCTTGCAATCTTCAAGGGTTCTGCATCAGTGAGAATTCATAATAAAAGCTAGCACTGACCAAGGACTTGGCATTTTATATACATTATTGTATTTCATTCTCACAATAATCCCAAAGGAAAGCATTATCATTATCATTTTACAGATGATAAACTAAGGCTACAGAGATTAAGGTACCTTATATGCTACCTCAGTTCCCCAAAAAAGTCTTCATAGACCTCAAACCCTATATATAATCCAAAACAGCAGAATTTCATGTGAAGAAATCCTTTACTTTTATAAAGATGAAAATTTCTCTCGCACTCCAGGCAAATAAATGAAGAATTTATTTTGTAAAGATTTACGACAGCCCTTTCTCTGACCAATGAATCTGATCTGAGCATAATACTCCTTAATGATGGTCCAAAACACTGAGAAGAAAATTTAGCTACATGTTATTCTCCAGTCTTTTATGTGTGTATGTGTGTATTAATTAAAAAAAAAAAAAAAAAAAGCCTACCTCCATAGAGAATTTTACAACGACTGAAGGAATTCAATCAATGAAAGACAGGTGCATCAATGCATATGAAGAACCATGAAGAAGCTAGTTCATGGACCAAGTAAGCTACAAAAATGAAGGAAAAAAGAAAAGAGAGAAGGAAACAGGTTTTCAGTTTCATATGCCCTAAAGTTACAGAAAAGAACAACAGACAGTGTCAGAATTTTGAAGTTAAATATAGATGAAGTGAAGGAGAAAAAAAATCAGCAGTACTCAGAAATCTAAATTGAATATTATTTCCAAATAAGTGAAATTAATAAAGTGTAATGAAGACATAATTGCCACAGTTGACTAACATATTACTCTTTCAGTAGAATCCATAACAAAAAAATAAAATAACCCTATTAAGATGTTAAAAACTAAAAAAATTAAAAACTAACAATTAGGTAAATAAATCGTTTCACACAGAGAAGAAAAATTTCAAAATAGGTCATTAAAATTCCAGTCAAGTTCAGCAGGATTTACAATGACACTTATTTAGTGCTATTATTTCTGAATTTGGGATGCTTTATGAATAACTTGTATTTTCAGATTAATATTGCATTTTCCTGGTCTTTTTATCTGTCTGCACCGTCCCCAATACCCTTGAAAGAAAGGCACACATTTGCAGGTTGGATGGCCAAAGGCACTGATACAAATTATAGCTGTGGAACTTAAACCAGTTTTGCAGAAGAATCACCTGGAGGACTTTTAAAAACATATTTCTAAGTCCCACCTCAGATTCTTGGACTTAGAAGCCCCGTGGTTTGTAAATCACTTACAAAAGGATCTGCAGATATGTCTGCTGCATAGACGGACGAAATAGAGTAGAGTTGTGTATTTAGGACTATGCTTGGAAGAGTCTTAAAATTCTCAAGAAATACCTTTGGGCTTCTCTCACCTGTTCCAGCCAGAATAATCCCACTGTCTATTTCATGTATCTATTCTGCTTCTTAAAGTCTGAAAACAACAAAACCTGATAGAGCACAGTGAATTCACTCACATAAGAATTCAACTTATGATGGGGCACCTGGGTGGCTCAGTAGGTTAAGTGTCTGACTCTTGATTTCAGCTCAGGTCATGATCTTGCCATTTGTGGGTTCAAACCCCATGCCGGGTTCTGTGCTGACAGCTCAGAGACTGGAGCCTGTTTCAGATTCTGTGTCTCCCTCTCTCTCTGCCCCTCCCCCATTAGCACTCTGTCTCTGTCTCTCTCAAAAATAAATAAACATTAAAAAAAAAAGAAGAAGAATTAAACTCATGATCTGGCATCAAAACTGACCTAATCCAAACATAAAAGAGACTAGACAGATAAAAAGACCAGGATTGATGGATACAGAATATTTGTTAATGCCAAAAGAAAAGCCTTATTAGAGCAGTTCTGTAATTCATATACTTTTACTTATTGCAACTGAAAAGAACTTAATACATGAATGAATTACAGTCCAAATGGAAAAATATTTATAAATATCTATTCTGTTTTAATTGCATATAAATCTGTCATTTTCAAAAAGACTATCTTATTCCAGACTTGCAACTGAAAATATACAACAATCTAAATAAATGCAAGGTTTAGTGACCTTGCCTCCTACGGAGACAGGAGTAGATCTAGAGAGGCGTTCTCCTTGGGGAAATAGTCACCCTAAGAGAAAACAATCAGAATGAACACCTGTCCACTGCTTCCCCATAGTATAAGGTTTGGATCCTTTGAACACCTTTCAGGTGTCTCCACTAATCTACCCTAGAAAACTATGCTGTGTGCTATAGAGAAAGGGAGGTAAGTTTCTTCCTTCCATTCTGTCCTTGGATACTTCCGTAGGACTGGGTATCTTGGTCTTTTGAAATTCTCCATTTCAACCACCCTATCTAATAATAATGCATGCCTACTGGAAATTAAATTTGAGACATCGAATCCTGTATGTGGTTCCCATCTCAAGGAGCTGCTTCAACAAATGACTCAGAGTATTTTTACTCACCTGTCTGAATACACATACTTAGCAGGAGGTGAACTGAGTAGGAAGCCAGGAGAGCAACTATCAGCAGCAAGAAACTAAAATATAAAAGAGGACATGGTCAAACCCCACAAAAGTTTCTTTTCTGAGGTATCTCTTTAAAAAACCAATTTTGGGGGCGCCTGGGTGGCGCAGTCGGTTAAGCGTCCGACTTCAGCCAGGTCACGATCTCGCGGTCCGGGAGTTCGAGCCCCACGTCAGGCTCTGGGCTGATGGCTCATACCAGATATGCTTCCGGTTCTGTGTCTCCCTCTCTCTCTGCCCCTCTCCCGTTCATGCTCTGTCTCTCTCTGTCCCAAAAATAAAAATAAACGTTGAAAAAAAAAATTGAAAAAAATAAATAAATAAAAATTAAAAAAAATAAAAAACTAATTTTTTTTTCACATTCCAATGTTCACAGGGATGATCTTAGAGTTGGATTGTGGCCACTAAAGAAAGAAAATATTATTTTGCATTTACTGAATTTTATTTAAATGAAAATATACTGCTTTTAAATTTTAAAAAATCAGAAAGAGGGGCGCCTGGGCGGCGCAGTTGGTTAAGCATCCGACTTCAGCCAGGTCACGATCTCGCGGTCCGGGAGTTCGAGCCCCGCGTCAGGCTCTGGGCTGACGGCTCAGAGCCTGGAGCCTGTTTCCGATTCTGTGTCTCCCTCTCTCTCTGCCCCTCCCCCGTTCATGCTCTGTCTCTCTCTGTCCCCCAAAAAATAAATAAACGTTGAAAAAAAATTTTTTTAAATAAAAATAAAAATAAAAAATCAGAAAGAAACCAACTTTATTTGAAACAAAAACAAATTTCCTCCTTCGGCACTCTTGTCTGCTGACTGCTGGTTCAGCCATTCAGTGATCTTGCAATACTTCCCTTTTATAACGATTTCTTCCTATTTTAAATCCAAACAGAGGTTTTGGTTGTGGAATCTCATTGTCTTTTTTTTCTTTTTCCTTTTTTTCTTTTTTTAATGTTTGTTTATTTTGAGAGAGAGATGGAGTGTGAGTGGGGGAGGGGCAGAGAGAGAGGGAGACACAGACTCTGAAGCAGGCTCCAGGCTCTGAGCTGTCAGCACAGAGCCCGACGCGGGGCTCAGACCCATGAGCTAAGAGATCAAGACCGGAGCCGAAGTCGGATGCTCAACCGACTGAGCCACCCGGGCGCCCCGTCATTGTCTTTTTCCTTCCCTCTGTCTCTTCTCTTCCAAAGATTGTACCCCACCTTCATCTATAAAACTGAATTAAGACTGCATTTCCTAGCATTAAACACACACGTCCACCAAACCAAACAAATGCAGTTAACACAGTTGATGTGTTCGTGACACAATTTGAAAAGGTGCAGACGATGTAATAATTGGGATTCTTTTACTGAAAGTGGTAAAAGAGACAACATGCATCATTTCGTACTTATTTTCAGGAAGATACTAACAAACAGGCTTCTAGAGAGCTGGCTCTAGGGGAGTACCCCAAAAGTTACTTTTGGCCCACTTAATACTTGTTATTAAGTAGCAAAACTGAGAGGTACACTTGAAGCCTCACAAAATAACAGTCTGGTATCACTAAATGGCAAATGTGATATGATTCAGTGAGGGCACGTTCCGTGGTATACATCTGCATGTAAGACCCTGGAGTACAAGATGTGATTTTTTTCAAAGGGAACCCAAAATAAGTCCTATAATTATGTCTTGCCTAAGATGTCACATACAGTTTTGAAGTTTTAAAACTATGAATGTTTGTTAAGAAACAAGACAAACCAGAGAGAGAGAGAGAGAGAGAGAAATCAAAAATGGACTCTTAATTATAGAAAACAAACTGTTACCAGAGGGGAGGCGGTAGGCATTGGGTGAGACAGGGGATGGGGAAAAAGGAGTATTTTGTTGTGATGAGCACCGGGTGTTGTAAAGGAAGTGTTGAATCACTGCAATATAGTGATAACACTGTATATTAACTGGAAATAAAATAAAAACTCAAAAAATTATGAGGGGCACCCGGCTGTCTCAGTACAACATGCCACTCCTAATCCCCGGGGGGGGGGGGGGTAGTTTAAGCCCTACTTAGGCGTGGATCCTACTTAAAAAAATTTTTTTTATTTAAAAAAAATTATGGGGGTGCCTGGGTGAGTTGAAGCGACCGACTTCAACTCAGGTCATGATTTCATGGTTTGTGACTTCAAGCCCCGTGTCCGGCTCTGTGCTGACAGCTCAGAGCCTGGAGCCCACTTTGGATTCTGTATCTCCCTTTCTCTCTGCTCCTTCCCTGCTCATGCTCTATCTCTCGCCTTCGAAAATAATAAACATTCAAAAAAAATTTTTTTAAGAAAAAAATTATGAAAGTTTGTGCATATATCTCATTATAAAAGGAAGTTGGGTTACCTAAAAGTTGGTTCGCTTATCAAGAAATTCAAAATAAAAGCAGAAAATAAACCTAAATGAGACTATGCATTTTAAATTTCCTGGTAAAATGGGTCTGCTTCTACTGATAAAACAAACTTGCTAAATGCTAAGGATTAGGTCTAGTTCTAAACGATTTCAGTTTAGCAGAGAAACTAACTTGCAAACAAATCATTACAACACATTATAATAACAGAATGAATAGACAAGTACTATGGAAACACAGAAAAGCCAAGAATGTCTCCTATTTTGAGCCAACTGGCATATGAGTTGAGTCTAGATGAAAAGGAATAGGCACAGAACACATGCCTAGACTCAGGGAAATAAGACTACCTAACAGCTGGAGGACAGGAGATGATGGAGAGAAATGAAAAGATTATGTGTTTTCCACTCACAAAATTGTTATTTGTAAGTAATCTGATAGCTGATAAACTTTAATTCACGTTGGCCAACGTGACACAACAACAGCCACTTCTTAATGTTATCATAAACAAGCATGGGTCAAGTTTCCATTTTTAAAAATTAGTCCCACTTTTGGATAAAAAATACAAATTATATAGCATCCCTCCAAACTACAGAGTAGCAATAATATATAAGTAGCAGGAAAATGCTAAACCTCCAGAAATGATTTAACTAGAAATTGTACAACACCAGCTCTGGGGCCTCTTTGCTTCTCAGTGTACTATCAAAATGGGGGGGGGGGGGGGGGAGGGGAGAAATAAAGAAAAAAACTCACCTAAATCCAAGGATGCCAGTATGAGCCATAACATAAGCTAAACCAAGGATGCCACTTCCCATGATGGCATTTGTCAAATTAAACACAGAAAAACCAAATGAAACACCTGGGGATCCCTGTCTGTAAAGTTCCTGCAAGCACACAAATTTAACAGTGTTAAGTGTTTAGATGAAGTTCAGATTTCATCAAGAAATGAATGACAAGTTATGGAGAACTCCTGCAATCCACAGGCACTGTGTGACACTAATTTCTCAAGCAGCACTGGTTTCCTTTTTTCCCTTCCCACCTCCCACTAATGCAGTGCCAGAAAAATCTTGTTTCCTAGGAAGATCATCTCCACCAGTACAGAGGCCAGACAGGCTTCAGGAAAAACCATGACTAACCTTGTGACTGCAAAAGATGAAGATAGGATAGGAATGGGGTGGGACAGAGTCGAGGGAGAGAAGGCCTCAGCTCATGTGATTACTGAAGAAATCCTGAGTCAGCTTGGGGCTCCTGTAGACAATGGTTACTCCCCAATTACTAGGACTGCAAAAGTAATCTCTGTTTATTTAATGAATTCAGTCAGCTCAAATGCAAGGATGGTCGGGAATACCTTGCAATGACGATACAATAAACAGAAGCAATACACGTTGCTCTACCGAGGATACCCCTGAAAACACCCTCTGCCAAAACAGCATTTGTGAGCGAAGTCCTAGAAACTGTTACAGTCCAGGGACTTGAGTTAAAAAGCCGAGGGCCCCCCTTACACAGGTTTGAGGGTCAGGGAAGTGCTATGTACTCATTACCAGGCCACCTCTACTCCTTCACCGCTAAGGAGCTCTGTATGAGGTTTCCAGGCACCCAATGACTAAGTCTAGGGAAGAAAAATCTCGTGACTCTGGCAAAAACCTCACAAGACTGTTGGAGGGAACAGGAAGTCGACAAAGACACTAACAGACAGCACTGAGTTACATAACGGCAGGGCTGCTCCTCCAGTCAGGTCCCCAGCCTCCAAATGGTGCTGCACCTCTTCCACCTGTGCCCGCGCCTTTACTTTCTCTCTAGGGCATGTTACGCTGCAATCACATTCATGCACTCGCTGGGTCTCATCTGCGTCTGGCTCCTGCCTTTGGGCCCCATCCCCCAAGAGTCAGGCTCCAGGTTCTCCCTTCTCCCCGTGCAGCACCCGCACCTCCTTCTTTTCCAGGTCTCATCTGTCAGGCATTTCAGGAAAAAGGCCGGAGGCCTGCAGCACCCAGAAGCTTCCCGAGGAAACTTACGTTGCTTAGCAACGGGCTCAACTCTTCCGCCTCCGCCTCTTCGGACTGCTGGGCCGAGAGGTACCAGCTCCGCTCGGCGTTGCCGATCCCCCAGGGCGCCTCCATGCTGCTCGCTGGCCGACAACCAGGTCCATCTGCGAGCTCCTACCCCAGCCTTCCAGTCAATAGTCGCGCGGGAGGCGGGGCGGGGAGCCCGGCCCTTCCGGGTTCCCGTACCGACCGGGGCGGAGAAGAAAGAAGGGAATCGACGGGCTCTGATGACGCTCGCCCCTCCGTGGCGAACCGTGATGATGTCATCGAGGGCCAGCCCTTCCACGAGCGACTCTCTTCCGAGCTGCACCAGAGCATGAGGTGAGGGGTCTAGACTTGGAGTCAACCGCCGAGCGGCGCCGGGAATTGGGATGGTGACGTTGGTGAAGTGGTGACCGCAGTGCCCCTGATCCGAGAGGCTGAGGGTCAGGTGGTAGTACCCGTCTTCCAAGGTCTGCTCTCCGCCATTCGCTTCTTGGCGCAGGTCGCGAGGTCACCCACCGCCCGGGTGCTGAGCTTGGGCCCTAGTACTGGGTGCGAAGGAATGTGTTTTATCTGTTCAGAAGCTTTCTGATCGAGCCTTTAGCCACATTTTACATGTGGGAAACCGAGACTCCGATTAAGAAATTACAAGATCACGCAGCTGGGGAACTCCTAGACCAAACTTGAACCCTGACTGTGAAGTTTGAGAATTGCTTCACGGGGTTCTGGGGCAGGGTCCTCTCCCCTTCCAATTATTTCTTTGGTATTCTAGAAGGCAAAGTGAATATCTGATACTATTAATGGAATGGACATAGAACTCTGCAAAGCCCTAGTCCTCAAAATACTGAAACCTCAAGTTATAGACAGGACTTGGGGTAGTAAAGCATTAAAGACAAACAACATACCAATCAATATATTAAGAATACAGGCTCTGTAGTCAGTCAGACAGACCTGGTTTTTAATCCCTGCGCAGCCACTTACAGAAACGAGACTGGATGAATTAACCTACTTCTGACCTTTAGTTTGCTCGTTTACAAAATAAAGATGTGATAACCACACACCTGCCAAGATAGATAATGTGTGTAAAGCATGTAGCACAGCCTCTGATGTAATAAGCACCCATAAGTATCCTAGTAAATATTGCCATTGGTAAAGTCATAAATATAATGACCATTTCATTTAGAGATGGATCGTTTAAGTCAAACGTCAGCCTTCCAATCCCAAACTTATTCTGTAGAAAATTGTGGGTGGAGAGGTTCATTGACTGTAGGGAGGCTGATGGGTCACTAAGCCCTTGTCCTGGCAGCAGATGGGTTAAGGTGCAAATTTATTATTTACTACTTTTATAAAAGACAACATATCATGGAAAAGATAGTATACTTCTCACACACCAGTCAGCATTTAGCATGTTATTTAAAACTATAGAATTTAGATTTTTTTATTCTTAACCTGTTGTGAACATGTAAATTTGTAGCTTTCTGTTTTTGTTTTGTTTGTTTTTTTAAAGTGCATCCTTTTTTTTAGGAACTTATGGAGGCAATTTGGATTCTCAAGAATAGTTTTCAAAGTGGAAACCTGTAGAATATCTGAATCAGAATCATTGGCTCAACTTGCTTGGACGTCACAGATACAGAAACTTAGCAGAGCACCTGGTATTTTCTTGCTGGATCAAAGGAGAAGATTCTCCACCATGACTGAAATAGAAACAAACCAGAGAGACTCTGAATTGTTTTCACCACCCTCTAATGTTCGAGGAATGACAAAACTTGATAGAACAGCTTTTAAAAAGACAGTCACCATCCCAGTACTTAAAGTGAGGAAAGAAATAGTCAATAAATTGATGCGATCCCTTAAAAGGGCAGCACTGCAGCGCCCAGGCATAAAACGTGTAATTGAAGATCCAGAAGATGAAGAAAGTAGACTAGTTATGTTGGATCCCTATAAAATATTTACTGATGGTTCCTTTGAGAGAGCAGAACTCAGTATTTTAAAGCAGCTTAATGTCAGTCCACAGATACATAAATATAATTTGGAACTCACTTATGAAAACTTTAAGTCAGAAGAAATCTTGAGAGCTGTGCTCCCTGAAGGTCAAGATGTGACTTCAGGATTTAGCAGAGTTGGACATATTGCCCACCTGAACCTTCGAGATCATCAACTACCTTTCAAGCATTTAATTGGTAGGTGTGTCTTAGTAATAATATTTATGTGCTAGAAAGTAATTAGGTTCTCATTTTAGTTCTTAAAATGACTTTCTTAAATGTCAAATTACAGAAGCAGGACATGTTACCATTTTAATTTTAAGCTGCATCTTGAGCTACATACCCTCTCTTTTGAAAGCCATTTTGGAATACTCTCTCCAGAGTGATAGCAAACTCTAAAAATCAGTTCAGGCTTTTCTGTACACAATATACAAGCATAGATTAAACTCAAATTTTTTGCTTTGGCAGAATTCTTTGGCACCTCGTCATTTGGTACATAGGAGTTATTAGACCCTCAGGACTATGCTGAATTCTAGGTTTCTTAAATTTGAGTGTTTACCATCAAAAGTTCAAGACCCTGTTTATTCATGCTTTGATTCGACTGACTGAGCCTCTTCTATATGTCTGGCACCATACTTTGTTTTTTAGTGCCCTTAGTCATTTAGAAATGATGCTTCTGGGGACACTTGGGTCACTTGTCAGTTGAGCGTCCAACTTCGGCTCAGGTCATGATCTCATGGTTCATGAGTTCAAGCCCCGTGTCAGGCTCTGTGCGGACAGCTCAGAGCCTGGAGTCTGCTTCAGATTCTGTGTCTCCCTCTCTCTGCCCCTCTCTGGCTTGTGCTCCGTCTCTCTCTCTCAATCCCTCTCTCAAAAATAAACATTAAAAAAAAAAAATAATGTTTTTGTATGTTGTATCTCTGTAAGCCCAAGTTTGAGCCTGGGTCCTTTATCCTTTGGGAGAAGAAAGAAGTAGAAGACTAATCAGGATTGCAGTTGTCTTTACACAAATATTTGATGTCCGAGTATTCTCCAGATTTTTTTTTCTTTTTAATTGTAATAGAATAGAGTAATTGTCAGAACTTTTGAGAATTATTTTCACCTTTAACATGTTCTCAGGGCACCTGTGTGGCTCAGTTGTTTGACTGTCCAATTCTTGATTTCAGCTCAGGTCATGATCCCAAAGGTCGTGGGATCAAGCCCTCTGTCAGGTTCCATGCTGAACATGGACCTTGCCTGGGATATTCTCTCTCTCTATTCTCTCTCTTTCTCTCTCTCCCTCTCCCTCTTTCTCTCTCTCTCTACCCCACCCTCCTCTCTCTCTTCCTACCCCTCTGCCCCACTCCCCAGCTTGCTTGCACTCTCATGCTTTAAATAAAATAAAATAAAATGTAGTTCTCAGTATTTTGCATGATTAGGATTTCAGAAATATGCTATTATGCATTTCCTTTGTTTTTACTGATGAAAGGGACTGATAATGCACAACGATAACACAATAAATAATTAAGCAGATCTTTATAATTATGCCTGGTTACAATTGTCAAAGATAAGCTTTGCTATGTATGAGTCATCGCCTGTCAGAACTCAAAACATCCCTTTTGGCATCCCTATTTTATTCAGGGCCCTCCTAGATTAAAAGTGAAGCATTTTCATCCAGTGGTATTTTTAAAGCTTTTGCTATAGACTTTCAGTTTGTTTTTTTTATTTCATTCCTCATTTCAAACTATCATACCTTAAAAATTGACTTCTGATACCTGAAGCAGAACAGGATAAGAATAATGATTGGCTAGAGTCATATTCAAAATCAGGTATCTAATTATCAAAAAGAAATTGGACAAATTCTGGTTATATATCAGCATGTTTGTATTATTGAGCACTTTTTACCAGCTTACAAATCAAGTTATCTTTCTTTATGCAATGACATGACATATAGATTCTTACAATTTTTTTAAGCGCTAACAAAAAAGTAGACTTTAAGTAAAGGGCATCAATATACCATTTCTGGTGTATTTTATTTGTAGCTCTTTCTGCTCTGGCAAATATTTGACAAAAAGAACAATTTAATTAAATGAACATTTTACTTAGATAAGACTAAATAATCTGTTTCTTTTATTTGAAAACTTATTTTACTGGTATGTATTTCCAAAGTGGGGGCATCTTTTTTAAGTACATAGTAAAGCAGACATTTGATTAGGTCAGTGGGAACAGGCTGGTGATTTTAGAGATCATTTGTTGCAATGGTCCTTATACTTTTCCTTTCTGTTCTTTACCTTATGGTCTACTTTTTTGCTTATTGTTGGGTATTGGTCCGTTTGAGATTTAATTTAAAAAAAAAAAAAGGAAAACTATTAGATAGACTGAAACTCCTCAAAAATTTTTCTTTAAAAATGTACCCCTATAGGGTGGCTGGGTGGCTCATTCGGTTGTGTCCAGCTCTTGATTTCAACTCACATCTTCATCTCACACTTCGTGAGTTTGAGCCCTACCTTTGCACTGTTAGTGCAGAGCCTGCTTAGGATTCTCTGCATCTCTCTCTGCCTCTCCTCTGCTCATGCGCACACTAGCTCGCTTACTCTCTCTCTCTCTCTCAAAATAAATAAAAACTTGTGTACCCTTATGTTTTTTTGTCTTTGTATTAGAGGCTGGCAGACATTAATTAACTTTGCTAATCCACTGAATTTTTAGAATTGCATGTCACGATATACACACTAGATGCAACTTTTGTCTATAACCAAAAGAAATACAGTTTATTTCCATTTTATATTTTCAGTTTTATTTTGCAACCGATTGGCAATATTTATGAATTCTCATCTTTCAGGTCAAGTTATGATTGACAAAAATCCAGGAATCACCTCAGCAGTAAATAAAATCAATAACATTGATAATACGTACCGAAATTTCCAAATGGAAGTGCTGTCTGGAGAGGAGAACATGATGACCAAGGTATGGAATATCTTATTGTCTCCTAGGTACAGATTATATCAAGATTAATGTTTAGAACCAGAATAGATGTCAAAGATTAAAAGTATTTATAATAACCCAATATTGATGAGTATGTGAGAATGTGAGCATTTATATATCCTTTTGATGGAAGTGCAAATTTGATACAAATATTCAGGAAGAGTATATGGTAAAAATTGCCATTTTGAATAGGTACCTCCTTTGACCTAGGATTCCATTTACGGGAAGTTATCTCAAGGATATGATTGGAGAAAATTGTAGTGATGTGTATGTACCAGGTTCTACAAAGGAATAGAAACAACCTAAATGTTCATCAGAGAATGATTAAATTTTGGTATAACAACACAATGAAATACCCCATCATTATAGATTACTGAGCTCCACACTTACTAAAATAAATTGCCCAGTGATAGGTTAAGTGACAAAAACACCAGTTGTAGAGTAGTATATATATACATAGCTCCATTTTAACTAAATATGTATGTAAATATGCACATATATCAGAATGTTAACAGTGGGCATATTTTTATTTGATATAGTAGTTACTAGTGACCTTTGTTCTCATTTTTATACTCTTCTACGGAGCACATATTTCTTTTATAAGAAAAACAAAACAAACCTATTTCAAAGAAAAAATATTTTTAATATGTAGGAAGAGGCTCCTGGGGTAAACCACTTTCTCATCCTCTACCCCCAAAATCCTCTGAAGTGCTGGATAATATAAACATTTTTTTGATTTAAAAGTCTTAGATAATTATGTGTTAATATTATGTGAAATTTTGTACCCAAGCTAGGAAATAGGTACATCTCTCCATAACTTCTCTCCATAACTTGATAAAAATTTTAATAACAAAGTCCACTCTTAAGATGTTAGATGTATTTTTGTTGGTTCCAAGTTTTTCTTTAAATACTAGTTAGTGGGGCGCCTGGGTGGCGCAGTCGGTTAAGCGTCCGACTTCAGCCAGGTCACGATCTCGCGGTCCGGGAGTTCGAGCCCCGTGTCGGGCTCTGGGCTGATGGCTCGGAGCCTGGAGCCTGTTTCCAGTTCTGTGTCTCCCTCTCTCTCTGCCCCTTCCCCGTTCATGCTCTGTCTCTCTCTGTCCCAAAAAAATAAATAAACGTTGAAAAAAAAAATTAAAAAAAAAAAATAAATAAATAAATAAATACTAGTTAGTTAACTAATAGGGTAATATTGGTTTCAGGTGTTGAATTTAGTGATTCATCACTTACAGATAACACTCAGTGCTCATCGCAACAAGTGCCCCCCTTAATGCCCATCACCCATTTAGCTCCCACCCCCCCACCTCCCATCCAGCAACCCTCAGTTCTCTATAGTTAAGAGACTTAAGCTCTTATGTTTTGTTTTTTTTTCTTTTTTTTTTTTTTTTTTTGCCTTCCTATATGTTCATCTGTTTTGTTTCTTAAATTCTGTATGAGTGAAATTATATGGTATTTGTCTTTCTCTCGCTGACTTCTTTCTCTTAAACAGGAGTTTATAAAACCCAGGAGAGTTTATGCAAAATAACTATTTTTTAAGATTCTGGGCCACATAGATTTAGGTGAATATTTTAAGTATAAAATTATTTCTCCATAATTTAATTGTAACAGAATATTAAAACACCATTTACTACATACTTACTATTAGGCCTGAGCTAATGTTTTAAATATAACAAATCCTTAGAAGCCCACAAGATAATAGTGGTTATTTTGTTTTGTTTTAAATTTATTTATTGTTTAATTTACATGCAAGTTAGTTAGCATATAGTGCAACAATGATTTCAGGAGTAGATTCTTTAATGCCCCTTACCCATTTAGCCCATCCCCTCTCCCAGAGCCCCTACGGCAACCCTCTGTTTGTTCTCTGTTTAAGAGTCTCTTATGTTTTGTCCCCTCCCTGTCTTTTCGCTTCCCCTCCCTAATGTTCATCTGTTTGGTATCTTAAAGTCTTCATATGAGTGACATCATGTGATATTTGTCTTTTTCTAACTGGCTAATTTCACCAAGCATAATACTCTCCAGCTCCATCCACATAGTTGCAAATGGCAAGATTTCTTTCTTTTTGATTGCCAAGTAATACTCCAGTGTGTGTGTGTACACATATATATACACCACATCTTCTTTATCCATTCATCCATCATGGACATTTGGGTTCTTTCCATACTTTGGCTATTGTCGATAGCGCTGCTATAAACATTGGGGTGCGTGTAACCCTTCGAAACAGCGCATCTGTATCCCTTGGGTAAATATAATGGTGGTTGTTTCTAATATTCTCTTTATGCAGATAAAGTAACAAGGAATGACTGAGCTGGATTTTTGGAGCCAGGCTTCTGACTCCAGAGTCCATGCATGATCTTTCCCTGTATAACGTCCACGGCCTACTGCTTGTGTGTATTGTGTGGGGTCTGATCTGGCGAGTAGGATTTGAATGTGAGTGCTTTGCTGGTATCCATGCTTATCTCAGCATACTGATTGAGTGCTGCTTGTTCTTCATTCGGTACTGCCCTTTAGGGTACTTCCTTCTTCTCAGAGATCTAAAAGTTCTCAGAAACTTCTGTAATTTTTTAAATGGCTTCTGATTGATTTCTTAAGTCAACTGAAGTTTGTTCTTAGGATATATTTTATATTTAACATTTATACCATAAAGTAAATGCAAAAACTCAGTATAATTTCTTTACTACAAACAGAATCACATTTAATTTTAGGAGCTCAAGCAGCATAAGTACTTTCTGTGTCTATTGTGAGTAAAAAGATTCCTGAGAGTGAATCGGGCTGAAAGTAATGTTGAGTGGGTTAGGTTGAAAGACAGTATGAGTAAAATCAAAAGGATACTTAAAGTCTAATTTTTTAAAAGTGGTACTATGCTTCACCTTAAAAAGGGGGAGTAGGAAGGATATTTCAGGAAAAGCATCCCATGACATATTCAGACCTTCCAGGTTATAGATCTAGAGAGTTTTAGTTAGCAGAATAATGAAGGAACATTTCCAACTCTGGAGCCTTAACGTGGCCAGAGCATCTGATGTGGTCGGAAGGAAAACATATTTACACAAATTTGAAAGCAAAATATTCCATGAAGGCAGAATATAGAAGATGTATCTCAGATTCGTAGAACTTAGGAACTTTTCTGGCCTTTTGATTCTTCATCCATTAAAACAAGGGGCTTAAAATGAAGGCTGAGGTCACATTACATGACTGTAATTTTAGTTTTGTTTTCTATTTTCTAACATGCTTATGATCGTTCCCCCCAAAAATGGCACAAAGTCTTAAAATTTTAAATTTCAAGACTTAGCTTCACTAAATATATTTAGTTTAATCCATGAAAACTCAAATTTGGGAAAAGAGAAAGTAGGGGAAGGATTTGTTCTATACACTGGCTAAAATTTGTAGATATGAACCTTGCAAAATCCAAGTAACTGTCTAAAAACATAGTAAAATACCTCAAAATCCAATGTGTACATGGCACGTCTTTTCTTTCCCAAGATTTTTTTTAATGTTTTTTACTTATTTCAAGAGAGAGAACGTGCACACACAAGCTGGGGAAGGGCAGAGAGAGAGGGAGAAAGAGAACCCCAAGCAGGCTTCATGCTGCCAGTGCGGAGCCCAGCGCAGGGCTCGATCTCACGAACCGTGAGGTTGTGACCTGAGCTGAGATCAAGAGTTGGATGCTTAACTGATTGAGCCACACAGGTGCCCCAGTACAAGATACATCTGTCATGCCTCCCCCTTACAAACTGAAAATTAAGGAAGCTTATTTGCTGAGGGGAATGCTGTCTGCAACTTCAGTTAGTCCTCATGAAGATATGTGTTGTATTGTTTCAAATTATAGGTTTATTTCCCTCTCTGTCAGGTGACAAAATAGAGTAGGATTAAGCCAGTCAATTGGCCTGTCTGAAAAATGCCTTATGTGATTTGGGAACCACTTTATGACCGGGTAGAATGAGACGGAGAGTCATTTGGCTTTAAAGAGAGGACTTTTCTTAGGTCAAAGTCTAATGCGGGGTGTTAACTGGCTTCAAGAATAGCATAAACACCAGAATTCTAATTAAAATGCAGTTATTTGCTCCTAAATTTAAATGTGTGGGCATACCCATCCAGTGTCCATGGCTGGAATTTAAAACTAAACAGGTTAACCAAGGTATGATACCTTTTTCAGGTTCGAGAAAACGGCTACACCTATGAATTTGATTTTTCGAAAGTCTATTGGAATCCTCGTCTCTCTACAGAACACAGTCGTATCACAGAACTTCTCAAATCTGGAGATGTGCTATTTGATGTTTTTGCTGGGGTTGGGCCTTTTGCCATTCCAGTAGCAAAGAAAAATTGCACTGTATTTGCTAATGATCTCAATCCTGAATCCCATAAATGGCTATTGCACAATTGTAAATTAAACAAAGTGGACCAAAAGGTGAAAGTCTTTAACTTGGATGGGAAAGACTTCCTTCAAGGACCAGTCAGAGAAGAGTTAATGCAGCAGCTGGGACCACTGTCAAAAGAAAGAAAACACTCTGTGCACATTGTCATGAACTTGCCAGCAAAGGCTATTGAATTTCTCAGTGTTTTCAAATTGCTTTTAGATGGGCCGCCATGTGGCATTGAGCTCCTTCCCATAGTGCACTGTTACAGCTTTTCCAAAGACCCTAATCCTGCTAAGGATGTTCAGCAGCGAGCTGGGGCTGTGTTAGGCATTTCCTTGGAGGCATGCAGTTCAGTTCACCTAGTAAGAAATGTAGCCCCTAACAAGGAAATGTTATGTATCACCTTTCGGATTCCTGCTGCTGTGCTCTACAAGAACCAGACCCTAACTCTAGGTGAGCAATTTCTGGGAAATTAAATGTAAACTATAATACTTTTCATGTAGCTTTTAATATTTATTAAATTTGGAAATAGGTTAAACTAATTCTAGTTAGACATTTCGGTTCAAGATTCTTTGCCACTCAATTGTGACTGGTTTCTTGCAATTTTACGAATTTTAGTATGACATACACACTATTCAGTCTAGCAGAAGGTTATTTCATTATAATAATAAATCTGCAGTCATGTTACTATTTTATGTATACGTTGAGTATTCAGAATCTTTAAAATGCCTATATTGTTTGCTTTTTAAAGGTATTTTCCAATGTTAAGTCTCTTACCTAATAACGGGTTTTTTGGCTTTGTTACAGAGAATCAGGACGACCCACCTCTTAAACGCCAGAAGACAGATAAAGTCTTTTCAGAAGAAAAAACTCAAATTGCTTCAGTCACTTCATTGGAAATGTCTTCTCCATCTCCCCATTAGACCTTTATGTAATAAAATATAATGACTTCATAAAATTTTAGCATTCATTTTAGTACTGAGCACTGATATTTTACCCTTGCTGTTATAAGTTATCAAATTAAAATTTAAATAAGTCTATTTTATCTAAGTGATAATAATTAGATTATCTTATAATCTAAATTATGTCTAATTTTGTATTAGATACATATATTTAAATATTGACTGTCTCCTGGGAAAATAGTTTTTGAAGGTGGGATAATTGCCTGCTAACAATCACTTTGCAGTGATCCCCAGTTGGAGAGTATGCCTAAATTTTATATAAGTACCCCTAAACTAGTAATAAAAAATGAAATTATTTAGATCAGGAATGGTAAACCATGCCTGACAAGCCAAATCCAGCCTACCACCTGTTTTTGTACGGCAAATAAATGACCTGAGAATGGTTCTTATACTAACGGTCGAAAAAGAATTTTAGAAATCTTGTGACATGAAAATTGTATGAAATTTGAATTTCAGTGTCCATAAATACAGTTTTATTGGAATACATCATGCTCGTTTGTTTACATGCTGTCTGTGGCTGCTTTTATGGTATTAAAGCAGAGTTGAGTAGTTTACAACACGGACAGGAAGTGATTCTCCTCAGTTCTTACTGCTGCTCAGCACACGGCACGTCGTAGTGACATGGTTGTACCTCAACAGCATCTTGAATACCATATAAATCACCAAGCTTTAAATACATTATTATTACTAGTGTATAGCCATCCTTTCAAAACAAGAAAACTGGACTTCTAATGTGCTTTGAAGGCACAGTGGAGTGTCAATTATTTTGATAATTAATTAGATAACAAAGAATCTATACCTGAGCTAAAATACAATATATGTTGACATTACCAATAGAAGCATTCATCTAGTATTTCACTCACAGGCAAGCAACTGTCAGAAAAACTAGAAATTTAATCTAGAAATATCTCAAATGAGCAGAACTTCTTCACAAAATAAAAAATGAAAATGAGGGTGCAACTGAAATAAGTCTCTAAGGGACTCTCGTAACCCCATCAAGGAAAGCCATTTACTGATGGCGAGTTAATTGTATTTGAGTGCAGCAGCCAAAGAAATGTATCCAGGGAAAGTAAAATTGTTTGAGATTGTTTGTTGGCCTTTTGGAAAAAACAGTTGCTCAAAAAGTTTGGGACACTGGGAACAAAATCAAGTCAATTAAAAAGGTAAATGAGTCTGATTCTTGATGAGTTGATAGATGTTACTACTACTGCTCAGGTCTTATTTATTTGAGACATCAGTGCTGAGTTTGAAGTTGCTGAAGAATTAAGCTTCTATGAATACTCTGCACGGAACAACTATGGGTGAGTATTTCTAAAGAAGTTGAGAAAACAATTCTTTACAACCTGAAGTGGAATCTGCTATGATGTGTTACACCTGATGGTGGTAAAAGATACGTGAAGTAGAAAAAGACCTGAGCCTGGGTGGCTCAGTCAGTTGTGTCCAACTTGGGCTTAGGTCACGATCTCACAGTTTGAGTTCGAGCCCCGCGTCGGGCTCTGTGCTGATGGCTCAGAGCCTGGAGCCTGCTTCACATTCTGTGTCTCCCTCTCGCTTTGCCTCTCCCCCACTCATGCTCTGTCTCTCTCAAAAATAAACAAACATTTAAAAAAAAAAAAAGACCTAGTTGGGAGAAATATACAGAGCTTGGTAAAACCTGTGGTTATTCACTCCTTTCTTCACCAGCAAGTTCCCTGCAGAAGATATTTGAACCTGCCATGTGTTACTGAACCAGTGGTGTCAATACTAAGTTTCATTTGCTTTCATGGCTCCTAACCACCCTCAAGTCCTTTAATTTTTGTCAGAAATTGAACTTGAATCTGAATCTGGCTTGTTCAACATGAGTTTGGTTTGCTTAGTAATTGTCAAGTTTGATTGCAATTTTTCTTTTTCTTTTAAAAGAAAAAATTTTTTTAACGTTTATTTATTTTTGAGACAGAGAGAGACAGAGCATGAACAGGGGAGGGTCAGAGAGGGAGACACAGAATCTGAAACAGGCTCCGGGCTCTGAGCTGTCAGCACAGAGCCCGACGTGGGGCTTGAACTCACGGACCGTGAGATCATGACCTGAGCCGAAGTTGACCCCTTAAACGACTGAGCCACCCAGGTGCCCCTGATTGCAATTTTTCGAGTTCAAGGTCAAGACTGAAATTTTTCTTAACAAGAGGAACCACTCTTAAACATTATTCTAGAACACTGAATGGCTCTGGAAATTAGCTTTTGCTAATGACTTGATAATATTTCTTAAAGGTTTTAACCTATAAAGCAAACAACTTTAATGTGAAACTGCGGTAGTCATTTCAACAGACATTTGAATCACAGTACCTTTTGTTCCACATTTCTCATGCTGTCAAAAACTAAAACAAGAAACAAGATTTCCACTTTCAAATTAGCAGTAGAGATATTTTCTGTGTTCAGCATTTTTTCAGACCTTGGCAAAAATGCAAAGGAAATTTACATATTTCAAAATCTATTTACCATAATTGAGCTTCTATCTAATGTTCAATTGGAAGTGATTAATGTGCTATGTAATGACATGCTAAAAGGCAGGTATCAAGGGAAGAATCTAATAGAGTTCTACAAATGCCTTCCAAGTGATGAATATACCCAATTAAAATTGTATGCTTCTGGATTGGTGCCAGTATTTGGTAGTATGTATCTATGTAAAAAAAGACATTTTTAAATCTCGTCACAGATAACTATATAACAGGTAATCATTTACAACTGATTTTGATAGGAAATATTTAGAACCCCAATTAAAGGAACAAGGAGCTCTTCTTGAGCTACAATGTAATTAGACACACTCAATTATATTTTGAATTTTGTTCATTAAAAACAGTGTGCTAACTTATTTTATCACAAAGCCTAAAATATTTACTGTCTGGCCTTACAGAAAGGTTTGAGGACCACTCATCTAAATCACTGATTACAAACTCAGATACCTTCAGAAGCAAGTAGGTAATATAAACAGGTGAAAGCGATAAATGGTAAAAAGTGTAGCAAAGTAATGAATTAGAGCCCTCATCCCTTATCTAAAGGCACTGAAAATTGATTCTGAAAATCAACCAAAACTATCCTCTGCAAGACCTTGGGGGTTAATTCAGTTTGGGACTTCTAATTTTCTTCCCTCCCCTCCAAATGAGGAGTGTGTAGGTCATGGGTCAGTATGCTTCCTGTTATGAACCAGATAGTATTTTAGGCTTTGCAAGCCATAAGGTCTGTGTTGCTGCTCAACTCCATCATAGTAGTACCCCAGGGCAGCCATGGACAATACATGCACTATATGCCAAAACAACTTTCATTTATGGACAGTGAAATCTGAATTTTTTATGCTTTTTACTTGTTAAAAAGTATGTATTTTGGCTTTTTTCAACCTTAAGAAATGTAGACAATTCTAGCTCATGGAACATACAGAAACAGGCACCAGCTGGATTTGGCCAGGGGTCCATAGTTGGCCCTCTGCTCTAGGTGAAGAGAATTTTAATTTGCAAGTAGGAATGGGATTTTTTTTTTCCTAGTATTGTACATTGACATACTAGGTTGTAAATACTAATTATGGGTACAAATGATGTTCTTATTCATACATGTAAAGTGGTAAGATTCTTGCCTCTATTTAGTCACCCCTTAGACAAAATATGCAGTATATAATTGTAAAGGAAATGGAATCCTTAAAAGCCTCTATTAACATTTTAACCCCTCCCCCCTTTTCCCTCAGAGTGGATAAGTGAATGTACAATTATTTCATTATTTAAATTTAGGCCCATCCTAAAGTTTTTTTTTAATTTTTTTTTCAACGTTTATTTATTTTTGGGACAGAGAGAGACAGAGGATGAATGGGGGAGGGGCAGAGAGAGAGGGAGACACAGAATCGGAAACAGGCTCCAGGCTCTGGGCCATCAGCTCAGAGCCCGACGCGGGGCTCGAACTCACGGACCGCGAGATCGTGACCTAGCTGAAGTCGGACGCTTAACCGACTGCGCCACCCAGGCGCCCCCCCCATCCTAAAGTTTTTAATGGGATACCTGGTAACTGAACTCTTGATGTCCACTAGAAAATGACAGGTGGAAAGCTCAGTAGATCCATCTTTTTAAAATTTTTCCCCCACATTTATTTATTTTTGAGAGAAAGAGAGAGCATGAGTGAGGGAGGGGCAGTAAGAGAGAGAGACAGAATCGGAAACAGGCTCCATGCTCCGAACTGTCAGCACAGAGCCCAACACGGGGCTTGAACTCACAAACTGAGATCATGACCTGAGCCGAAGTTGGACACTTAACTGACAGCCACCCAGATGCCCATACAATTGTTCAACTTTGTTAGCTTTTTGACAAGTTTTTCTGCCACCTTAATTGGATTTTGAAATGATCACCTGACCACCAGTTGACAGCCTAAAGATAACATCTAAGAGAATTAGATCAAATATTTATTGAATGAAATTAAATACTAATAGTGCATCCCGACCATGATGTAAACCATATTCAATACCATTAATATCTGCTTTCCAAAGGAAGGTAGTTAATAGTCAAATCATGTTCTACATAATGAATTTCTCCCAAGGATATAAACAAGGTTATTAAGTTGATGTCATTTATATACCATAAAATAACTAGACACTTCATCTTTAAAACTTCCTGGAAGTCTTAGGAAGTTTGACTACTCAAACTTGATTCTACACAGCTGTTGTTTATAAGCTTGGCAGTTTGACAGTCATCTCTGGAGCATGGACTTCTGACCACTTGGGTTCAAATCCACTGTGCTACTTTTAAGTTGTATTGACCTTTGGCAAGTTAGTTAACCTCCCTATGCCTTGGCTTCTCCATATGTTAAAATGGGTACAATAATACTAGCAGTGTAAAGACTAGATGATAATACACAGTGCATGAAATGCAGTGCTTGGGGCATAGGTATCGCTCAGTAGTTGCTAGCTATTGTTTCTGTGCTAGTGTTGTACAATGTTAAAAGACTTAATTCATGTAGAAGAAAGATTTGTACAGCATTTTGTCTCTGAAAGAGGAAATCACTAGGAAGATAGGGGATAACCTCATTAATTCAGAATATTTGTTATTTAGTGAATTGTCAATAAGTTACCTTTCACCGTTCCCTTTGATCTAATAGGGTTAGTTAGCAACTTCTTATTTGGCCTATTGAACAAGGTATGGCAATAGTAAGGGCAAAATATTTACAAATATATAAAGGTTTTGGAATTCAATTTATTTGCCAAATCAGATGCAGGCAATTTCTACAATAAGGTAGGTTTGAAAAAAGTTTTGAAAGCCTTTGAACTGTTCTATTAATTAGTTCATTTAAATACATTATACAAGGCACTAAGAACAAGTAATAGTGTTTCTTTTGTGAAGACTGGATACTGTAATTTGGCAGCTGAGTACAGCAAAGCCTTAACCGTAAGCCCAATGTTCTCACTATTCTTTGAACAGATTTATAGACTGTACTTAAAACCCTAATCCTCATTTGGAGAATGCTGATAGATATGAAAA